TACATTTCCTTGTTTCTCAGTGTTTAGACCTGAGATTCTTTTGTTTTTATCAACCATCTCCCTTGCATGTGTCCCTTCCTCTCTATGCCCTTGTTTCATTCTTAACTTCTTGGCATTGCTTGCCCAAATTGTCTTGAGAGCTTCTTACCAGATCTAGTGACCTCATGTTGTCATCAGATCCAACTCATTTTTTACCCACTGCCGAAGTAGTTGCTCTAAATTCAAATCTGATTTTGTTGCCTTTTTTTGGCTATAAACTTGACCATTCATGAAAACAGTGATCAGCTCTGCTATATTCATATTAGTAGTAGTGCATGCATTATTAATAATTAATAATAGCAATAATCCATGGGGCTAACCCCCACCTTTCCAGTAATCTCTTTAAGCTTCTTGTGCATTTTGTTAAGATTATTCGAATAACATAGTCTATAATTTCATTTATCTGGAAAACACTGGATCATGAATTTTTCACTTACATTACCACAAAATATATGAAAAGGATACCACTCTGTTCTTTATTTCTTTTAAGAATTCATTTAACTTATTTTATTTGAGAGAGAGAGAGAGAGAGCACGAGAGAGTGAGTGAGGGGAGGATTAGAGGGAGAGAGAGAGAATCTGAAGCAGACTCCTTGCTGAGTGCAAAACCCTATGCTGGGCTTGATCTCAAGACCCTGAGATCATGACCTGAGGTGAAATCTAGAGTCAAATGCTTAATGGACGGAGCCACCCAGGTGCCCCACCATTCTGTGCTTTAAATCTCTTCTCATTTTCTTCTTTCTCTTCCTTCATCTTTATGGCAGTTATTACTTTACCAAAAATTAGCAAACTGGTAGCCCCCAGGCAGAAATTGATGCCTAATAAATATATTTAAAAGTATTGGGCTATAGTTAAAAATCATAAGATTGTAAATTAAAATCTTGATTTCTAGCTGATCTTGAAAAAAATTGGAACACTAGAATACTGTATCCACTTTCCTATAAGATAATGCTTATCTGAAGCTAAGGGACTATTGTCCCTTTTAGACAGTCTGAACCTCATTTTACCCATACAGCTTAATTCTGCCACTCCATACCCAGTCCCTTTTGGCATTTGGGTTGGAGACTCCCACTCTACCATGGACCAAAGAGAAACATAGTGCTTGTCTTATCTTGCCAATATGGGATGGAAACAATTCTAGTGAACTCGGTTTTTCAACCTTATAGCACTCTCAGTGTCTACTATGGTACTGGTCATATTGTGAATGTTCAATAAATGCATTTTGGTAGAACTGAATGATACATACCAATGAGGTACAACAAAATCTTTGCAAGCTGCCTGGAAGAATGCATTTTTTTTTCTCAACTTGATCAAATGTCTTCCTCATTTAATTGGTTTAGTTAAGCATGTGCATGATTGTTTTCCTGTTTATCCTGCCTTGCTTGGCTTTAGTTGAATGTTCCTAGAGGGCAGGATTCATATATTTTAATGTCCTTTGTGCCATGTCTGGTGTCAAAAAAATGCTCTGGTAGGCATTATTGTTAAATAATCCTAATAAACACACGTAGAAACTATTTCTGCATCCTTTTATTTCAATAGTAATTTATTAAATATGTAGGTAACATAATAGCCTTATTGGCAATAATAAACCTTTCAAAACACTAATTTAAAGTCATATCAAGTTGAGTCTCAACCAGAACTATACTAATGTCTATAATTAGGGTCAGTGTAAATCAAGGGGTCTCCTGTAGCTGCTAGAAAGAATGAATCTCCCAGATGCAACAGATGATAACTTTAAAGGCTATGCTAAGGGGGATTTTCCCGAGACTTCTGATGTCCCTTGACTAAGTTACATGTACCATCAACAAGTCAATTTGCAGCATCAGTGACCTGCACACAGCTCTCTAAATTCAGAGAAGGCTCAGCAGCTTGGGCCCCTGAAAAGGTATTTGGAAAGTTTCCCAGTTTGTGCGCTGCATAAGCTGGAGGCAGTATAGTGATAATTAATAAAGTGCCAGACTGGATAATTGTAGGAACTGTAAAAGATACTCCAATGTTGTTATCAGAGGCACAGACACAACTGTGAACGTGTGAAGTTAATTTGTGTGAGGAACATCACGTCACGTGAGAGTGGATGAGGACTAGGGAGGTGAGATGTTCTTTAAATAATTCAGATGGGGAAGTGCTCTTCCAAAACATAAAGAAAGGAACTCCTGCTGGTGGGATACTGCAGGGTTTATTAAAGGAGTTTCTCCTATATTCTTTTGTTATGTGTGCTCATCTTCTTGACCAATTTTTAAATAACAGTAAACCTCCCCTTACTGTGTTAAAATACCCCCCTTGATAGTGTAATGTTGAGAGACATGAGACCTTATTTTCTCATCATCACCCAAATTCTGTGCAGACTAGGGGGCGCCTGAGTGGCTCAGTCAGTTAAGCATCTGCCTCTTGATTTCGGCTCAGGTCATGATCTCAGGGTCCTGAGACTAAGCCCTGCATCCAGCTCCATGCTCAATAGAGAGCCTGCTTGAGGATTCTCTCCTTCTCCCTCTGCCCCTCACTGGCCCCATCCCTGCTCACTTTCTCTCTCTCTCTGAAATAAAAATAAATAAATATTTTTAAAAAAATTCTGTGCAGACCAACTGCCATTGGGTTTCCATACACAATAAGCTAATGACAGAAAAAGGAAGAATAAGGATGAGGGTAGCTATGTCAATATTTATCATGAGAAGGGTTAGAACTATTGAGAACTACAAAATTATAAGCAGTTTACAGAGCTGATGATAGATGAATGGTAGCTCTGTTGTTATCATTGCTTGTTATTTCCATTATTATTGAAATGGATTTTTAAAAAATTAAAACTAAAATCTTTGAGATGAATTACTGCCAATGATTATTCTGACCTTCTCCTAAAGTGCCTTATACAAAAGCTGTATAAGATAGATGTATGTAGGCAAAACCTCCAAATCTTAGCATTGCCATATAACAGTATTTTCTTCCAGACCACTCCATTCTCTTGCCTTTCTGGCTCAGAGATTAACTGTGTTATTCCAGTACAATTTTCTGACACCACCTGGGTATCCTACAAGTCTATTCAATTCTAACTAACCAGAATTAGTATAGATCCTCCAGGTTAAGGACTCGGTGACTGCCCCTGTTCAGATGCCACCTGCATGTCCCAAGTCTCCAGGCTACCTGCATCTCAGTCTAACTTGGCTATACATTTGGTGGTTCCCACGATCTTCCTTCAGGTTTGATAATTTGCTAGAAAGGTACAGAAAGTGTATACTTAGGAATACTGGCTTATTTTAGAAGCTACAAATGAAGAGCCAGATGAACTGGTAAATGGGGCAAGTCCAAAAGGGTCCGAGCATATTCTCTGTCTCTGTGGAGTTGGGAGGTGCCACCCTCCTGGTATGTCGATATGTTTACTAACCAGGAAGTACCTCCAAACTTCATCATTCACAGATTTTTATTGAGGTCTCATTACGTAAGTGTGATTGACTACATCATTGGCCATGTGACTGAACTCCATCTTCCATCCCTCCATCTGCCCTGACCTCCAGTTATGGTGGGGAAAGTTCTAATTCTTTAATCAGGTGGTTGATTCCTTTGGTGGGTAGCCCCCTTACGGAAGCTGTCTAACTACCCTCCCCCCACCTCTACCCCATGAGTCATCTCACTGGCATAAACCAAATATGGTCAAAGGGAACTAACTTAATTAATTAATAACAAATGACACTCCTATCACTCAGAAAATTCCAAGCATTTTAGGAGCTTTATGCAAGGAATCAGAGAAAAAGACTAAATACATTTTTTTTATTATACCACACAAGCTTCCTTCAAATATTAATTAGTCTGAGTTTCTTTTTTTTTTTTTTAAGATTTCATTTATTTATTTGAGAGAGAGGATGAAAGGAGAGAGAGAGCACATGAGAGGGGGGAGGGTCAGAGGGAGAAGCAGACTCCCTGCCGAGCAGGGAGCCCGATGCGGGACTCGATCCCGGGACTCCAGGATCATGACCTGAGCCGAAGGCAGTCGCTTAACCAACTGAGCCACCCAGGCGCCCTAGTCTGAGTTTCTTGTTTTCTTGGGGGTTTCTAAGTATAAAAACCCTTACTTCACCCTTTTTCATTGTTCACAGACAACAGTCTTATAGAAATCGGCCTGGTGTAAGGTGTATGAAATTATTTACATATGTATTTCTCTCCAAAACCCATACAAACTAGTTTGCCTATAATGCATATACAGTCCATTTTATCTTTTGTTTGTATTTTGTAGGCTTTTGATGCATTAACTCAACTTGTTTGCCTTCTCTTTAGATCTGAAATTAAATACAATCTTTATTTCAAATAAAATTATTTCTCCACTCTCAATGTATTTCTCTTTCACTTTATTTTCAATTCTTTCTGACATTAGGTCTATTCAATGATAGAATTATAGGATCAAAATTAAGCAGGTACAGTATAGTTATAATCAAGTATAATCAGTTATTTGTGTTTTAATTAATTTTACTATGGGAGTATCCTCTAAAGAGACTCTGTCTTTAAGTATCTTCTTTTAACTACAAGTATGCAACCTATAAGAAAACAAAAGTACAAAGACAAAAAATCATGACATCATAGCATGTTACTGTTTCTTTTTTTAATTTAATTCAACATGCAAATATAAAAGCATTTTGCTTACCAAAAGTTGTGATTTTTTGCCTTTCTTTTCTTTTAATGAAAATATTAACATAGTCTTTAAATGATAACATGTAAAAAAGATATGCTAGCAAATTTTCTTTTTAAGGAAATGTCTAGTATAGCCTCTAAGTTTTTATATCCATTTGAATAATCATACATACATATATACATGTATGTGCATATTTATAATAAGAATGAAAATGCCTATACCACTCACTGTGTTGTGATGAGAACTGAGATCTTTTTAAATATCTACATACCCAAATGCATATTAATGTCTCTGTTATTAAGCTTTTCACTGCTTTTATAACTGCCTTTTTTTTTTTTAATTTCTAGGTAACCTTCAAAGCATCAAAACATTCAGTTTCACCAGATTTAAAATATGTTCTTCTGGCGTATGATGTCAAACAGGTAAAGTAGTGATCTTCTTTGAAAAAACTTTTCTTTGTGATGCATTCAGGTAACAAGTCATAGTTTTACTTGGTCATCTACTCACCTAGAAAAAAATTGGCATTTCCAATAGCTGCAGGGGGATACTGATAACCAATATTGCACGAGAGAGGTTTGGAGAAAGTATCCTGTCTTCCATACCTGACTAGCAAATACCTAGCGCAGTCTACTAGGTGTGTGTGCTAGTCCTAGTCCATCTCGTTTAGAGGCGGGTGTGGCAGGTGTTTAGCAAATCTGACAAATGGGGGCTTTTGCCATTTTCACGATAGCCTTAATACAATGTGAGTGTTTCTTTTATGTATAGACGAAGGAGTTTCCTGATGGCTCTGCCCTGAGCCGCAGTGTGTATAATGGGAAGGGACTGGTGAAAACACTGATTCAGGTTATGGACAGTGGATTCTTTGGTGGTATTTGAGCATAAGCCTTGTGGTTATAGAAAATTCTGAAAGTGGGTCAAACCAAGGAATCAGTTCTGAACAAATAAAACGTTCTAATTGCAATTAGCATTTCATTATTCCGTGTCAGCTCTACAGCACACAATTAGAGCAATATGTATGGTTGTTGAGTGTTTTGTATTTAGATATAATTTGCACTGTTAAGAAGCAAAGTAAATGTTGAAAGGCAGTTCAGCAGATGAGTTTCTGTGGAAAACAAATGATTGGAAATCATTCAAGAAATTTTTATGTGCTTTAAAACAATAAAAATTTATAGACTTAAGGCAGGAGGCTCATATAATGCATTGAAAGGCTTTGAGCACATGAAATTTCACAGCTCAGAGGACCTTCTAAATAATGACTTTAGTCTTTTGGAGTATACATGTGCTATATTTTTAGACATATTTATATATTTTTATTTAAAATAATTCACACTGCAAAAAACAGGGAGATTATAATGGAAGACATCTTTTCTTATTATAAATCTCAGCCTTTTTACTTTAATTTTGCTCTGTAATATCTCTATCCACTGAGATTATGAAAAGCACATGTAATAGCAAGAAAAATACTTGTTTTATAAACAAAATATTACAATTTCCCAGTTTTTAAATAATATTATTTACCTGAAGATTTTTAATTTACTATAAATATGTATTAAACTGATAATGAACTTAAGAAAAATCATGTTTCAGTAGCCACAATAATCAAGACTATGTGGAATGAGCAGAGGGATAGACATAGAGATCAATGAAACAAAGTAGAGAAGTAGGAAACAGACCCATACAAATATGCCTAACTGATTTTTGACAAAAGTGTAAAAGTAATTCAGTGGAAGAAAAAATACACTTATATAAGCCTGGCACTATATAAAAACTCAGAATGAATTATGGATTTAAATGTAAAATGTAAATTTATGAAACTTTCAGAAAACCCAAAACATAGCAGAAAATCAATGGTATGTAGGAATAGGAAAAGAGTTCTCAAACTATATATCAAAGTCACAGTATAGACAAGGAAAAACTATTGGCCTGTAAAAGACCTTGCTATGAGGATGAAAATCCACCCTACAGTCTGGGAGAAAGTATTTGCTCTTCCCATATTCAGCAAAGGACTAATATCTAGAATATATAGAAAAACTCTCAAAACTCAAGTTACAAAAAACAAAACAAGTATACCATCAGAAAATGGGCAAAGACATGAGACATTTCATTGAAGAGAAAGATCTCAAATGAAGCTCCTGAAGATATGTTCAACATCATTAGCCATTCAGTAAATACAAATTGAAACAACAGTGGCATATGACTACATACGGATCAAAATGGCAAAAAAAAAAAAAAAAATAGTGATTACACCAAACCATAGCAAGCACCAGGAAGCTGGATCATTCATACATTGATGTTGGGCATGTGTAATGGTTCTGCTACTCTGGGATATGATGTATAAAATTAGGATAACATTGGATATTTCAGCAAAATACATCAAGTTTATCAAAAAATACAGTGAACACCAGAAACATATACCTATGGACCAATCTTAATATTCTGTCTCTTATTTTTGCCTTTTCTTCAGGAAAAATAAAGATACTCTATGACACATCAATCTCTGGAAATGAGAGAAAGCTATTAGTTTAAGAAGTAAAAAATAAACTAAATTTCACATCTTATACTATTTCGTTCATGTTTTTTTTCTTTTTATTTATTCATCATGTATCAGGTAGACATAATGCATGGTGTGTGTGTGTGTGTGTGTGTGTGTGTGTGTGTGCGCGCGCGCATATCTACTTCAAGAAACACACCATCAGATAGAGGCAAGATGACACAAACACTTACATCCCGCTATACACAGCATTGCGTGAGGTGTTACAGGAGTGTATTAAAGAATAGAGAATATTTCCATTCAGATAATCATGTTGGGAAAGGCAGCATATGATGAGATTTGAAGAGCAGACAGGTAAAGATGAATAGAAAAGCATTCCAGGTGGGCCGATAACACGGGGTTTCATGGAAGGAGCGTTAAGTCTTTGAGGAATAGCACTGAGTTCAGACTATCTAGCTCACTGGTAAATAACTGATAAAAATAAACCGATATACCTAGTGGAGCTCAGATTACAGAAGAACTTGAATTCCATTTTATTCTTTATAGTTTGTACTGAGATAGCCATTTGGGATCTTTGATGGTTTTAGAGTAGTTAAATGCCATTTTTACTCTCTGTGTCTGTCTGTATGTGTTTGTGTGTGCGTGTGCATGTGCATAATGCCCACTAACAAAGATAGGAAAAAACAGTCATACAAAATCCAACCACCTAAACACATCCACTAAAATTATCTTTGGTGTGTTTTGTTCCTTTTCACTTTTATGTGTAAAAGTGGGGAAATGGGAATTATCATATATTAAACATTATTTTAGGCAGGCATTATTATCCTGATTTCAGAGAGAAGAAAAGCTAATTTCAGAAAAGCTGAAAAATGTGGGATTTGATGATTTAGAAATTTATCCAAGATTTTTCAGTTAGGAAGTGATAGCCACACACTAACAAATTCTTATACAATATTTTGTCTTTATTTTCATTATAAGGCAGATGAGCTGAACCAGAGAAGTATAATCAAAGGCTAGATTCCAACAACTCACAGAGTCTCCTTATTGTTGGACCTTAGTTGTCTTCATGTTTGAAAATATTTTGAAAATATTTTTAGTATATTCCCTTTTTCCTGAATTTAATATTTCTATAGGACACATTTACATAACTGGAATTTCTGGATGAAACTATATAACATTGTTTAATTGAACTGAAACTGAAATTCATAATAGTTAACACCAAATAAGCTGCCTTAAAGTGTACAATTCAGTGGCATTTAGTACATTCACAATGCTGTGCAGCTACCACCTCTATCTAGTTCCAAAACATTTTTATCAATGAAAAAGATAACCCCATACCTATTAATCAGTCAGTCCTCATTCTCCCCTACCATACCTTCTGGTAACCACCAATCTGATTTCCATCTCTATGGGTTTACTGAGGTCTCACTACGTAAGTGTGATTGACTACATCATTGGCCATGTGACTGAACTCCATATGTAAATATGTAAATAGAATCATATGACATGTGATCTTTTTTTCTGGCGTTTTTCACTTACCATAGTGTTTAGAGGTTTATCCACATTGTAGTATGGGTCAGCACTTCATTAATTTTTTATGGTTAAATAATATCCCTTTGTATTTATATATTACAGTTTGTTTGTTCACTTATCCTTTGAAGAATATTTGCTTTATCCCCAACTTTTGGGTATTCTGAATAGTGAGGCTGTAACATAAGAATTTCCTGAGTACCTATTTTCAATTTTTGTAGTATATTTTGAGGTGTGGAATTGCTGAGTAATATGCTAATCCTGTGTTTAACTTTTTGAGGAACCACCCAACTGCTTTCCAAAAGTGGCTGCACCATTTTATATTCCCACCAACAATGGATGAGTTCTGATTTCTCTGTATTCTCACTAACAGTTGTTATTTTCCGTTTTTCTTATTATGAACTATCCTAGTATGTATGAATTGGTATCTCATTGTAGTTTTGGTGTACACCTCCCTATTGACTAATGATGTTGAACATATTTTCATATGCTTGTTGGTCTTTTGTATTTCTTCTTTGGAGGAATGCCTACTGAATTCCTTTGCCTATTTCTTTTTTCTTTTTGTAGTTGTGTTTAAGAGTTCCTTACATATTCTGAACAGTAGACTCTTATATAGGACTCAAATATTTTCTCTCACTCAATAGATTGTCTTTTCACTTTCTTGATAATGTCCTTTGATATATAAATTTGAAAAAGTTCTGATTAAGTGTAATTTATCTACACACATGCTTTAGGTATCATAGTTAAGAATCCATTTGCAAACTCAGGGTCATAAAGTTTTACCCCAATGATTTTTTTCTGAAAGTGTTATGCTTTTAGTTCTTATATTTAGGTTATTGATTCGTTTTGAATTAATTTTTGTATAGGGTGAGATAGGGGGTCCAAGTATAGCACAATATATAGGCTCGTGCTATATATTGAAACACTCCTTTCCAAACAGTTATGTTGGTTTATAACTGCCATTAGGCAATGTGTGGCTTGTTATATTACCATCTTTACCAACATAAAACTATATTTTAAAGAAAAACTTATTAACTTGATAATCTATCTACTAATCAAATACATGCACACATTCTCTCTCTCTCTCTCTCTCTCACACACACACACTGTCAGTATTAGTTTTATATTACTATGCAGTAAATTGCCTCAAACTTAGTGACTTTTTAAAAAAGCATTTATTGTGCTCAGTTTCTGTGTAATGGAATTTGGAATTGGCTTGGCTGGGTGGTTCTGGCTCAGGATTTCTCATGAAGTTGCAGTCAGCTATCAGCTGGGGATGCAGCCAGCCAACAGCTTAACTGAGGTTGAAGAATACACTCCCAAGGTCCATCATTCACATGGATGGCAAATTGGTGCTAACTGTTGGCATGAGGCTTCAGGTTTGTCCCTGATGATCTTTCTGAAATGCTGCTGAGTGTCCTTATAACATGGTACCTGGATTTCCCCAGAATGAGTAATACAAAAGATAAAGGCAGAAACTTAAATGCCTCATATGATCCTTCATTAGAAGTTACCTGTTAGGGGCATGTGAGTGGGTCAGTCAGTTAAGTGTCTGATTCTTGATTTCTGCTCATGTCATGATTTCAGGGTAAAAAGACAGAGCCCTCTGTCAGGCTCTGTGCTGGGCATGAAGCCTGCTTAAGATTCTCTCTCTCCCTCTCCCTACCCCACTCCATCCCCCTCTCCTTGTGCTAACTCTCTTAAAAAAAAAAAAAAGTTACCTGTTACTTTCACAGAACTTTTTTTAATTCAATTTATTTTTTAAATATTTATTTATTTATTTGAGGGAGGAGGGGCAGAAGGAGAGGGAGAGAGAGAATCTGAAGCAGAGTCCACACTAAGCATGAAGCCTGAG